CTCTGCAGTGATAATTATTGCTAGGTATAAGATGTACAATAATACCAACTTCGTCATCAACCCGTTGCGCCTGTCTATTCGGAATTTGGCCGTTCATACGACTAAGCAGTCTCTCAAGCAGGCCATTGACGAGGCTCTCAAGGATGCTAAGGTGAAGGCGAGTACTAGGCATTCGGTTAAGGTAGTTTACAAGTGCGGATTGCCGTTACACTGCTGCTGTGGATGAAGGTCAATGTATTGGTCGATGAAGAGAGAAGGGTGCCGATACCTGGTGGAGAGGAGGGAGCCACCACTAAACGCTGCAAAGGATTTGCCTTCGCGGACTTCAGGAACAACCAAGTTGCTTTGAAGTGCCTGAGGATGATGAATAACAATAACAAGTATAACCCAGGGGCCGACGGTTTGTGATGTAGTCGTAGATAGAATAGTTTTTTTGGCTTTCTCGTCCTTGAACGTGATGTAGCACTGAACTCTTCGGGCACTAGATACTTGGACTCCGACCGTCGGCCTATAGTCGAGTTCGCCATCGAGGATAAGCGAGCCTTAAAACAGCTGCAGCAGTCTAAGAAGAAGCAGATAGAGAAGAAGAAAGAGACGGTCGGTTACTCGTTGAGATGGGACGCGACAGCATGTGATGATTCAGGAGGTTCAGAAGGATATCGAGAAGTCTCATAAGGGAGGGAGAGGAGCTCGGCAGAGAGCGGCTAGGCGCAGAAGAGCGGAAGAGATGGTAGCAGCTGATACCAGTGACGAGGTCGCTGAGAAGGTCATAGGGCGCGGCTGTGGTGTTCTGCACGATTCGTAAAGCTCGTGAACCTTCGTCTTTGGAAATGTTGGTTTGACGTGCCACATTTAGGTTGAGCCTGTCAAGGCCGTCGAGGAGACGAGCGCGACCCCAACCGGTAGCGGGTCACCTCGCAAGAAGCTAGGGCCAGCGGCCAGACGTCGAGCCCGGCGTAGAGAGGAGAAGGATGAGAAAACGAAGAAGGTAGTCGGAGCGAAATTCACGGTGGGGTCATTCTGCGTCCCTTGCTCAGGTGCTCTCCTCGGACCTAGCTGAGGATCGAGATGAGCTCGAAAGGCTCGCCCAAGCAGTCGCTAATTCTCGGCAGGAGAATACTGAGAGTAGTGTCCGCCAGATTGTGATGAAGTGATAAGGTGTTTGGCAGATGCAGAGTTCCCATCAAGAGTTCGCCGACGCTCCGGCAAGAAGAGAGAGGCCGATAAACTGTTGGAAGCAGAGCAACGGTACCTGTCTAAGGTTCGTCGGTCCCAGGAGTAATACCAACTCCCACAACGTAATTGTTCAATAACGTTTCTCCAAAATGATAATTGGTTTTGCGTGAACGACTGAACTCAAACTTCAGAGAAGGCGTCTATATTCCATCGAGTTTGAGTGGCGGTAGACATGTAGTGAATTCAAGGGAGTTTGAGTGTGTTGTAAGCACGAACAGCATAACAACGATTTCCGTACTCAGTGTTAGACGTGGCCCAACGATCAGCATATCTGAGGAACGTATGACCATTAATACTCCCAATCAGGAAAGAACGTACCCAATTATGTTCTCAATCTGGTCCTTCCATCGGTGTTCTGTCGTACGGCAGTACGAGGTCGATCGGCGAAAATGGCGAGCGAGTCGTGAGGTAGCCTAAGAGTCCCTAGTGCTAACTAACGACAGAATGTTCCACCAACCCGTGGCGTTCTCCTTCTCCCGAGCCGCGCGTCCTCTTCGACGTGAATAAGTCTGTCTTCCATTCTTGCGCCACGTCTCACTCTGCGACCTTCGGCTACTGAGCCAACCAGGGTTGACTGGTACTGATGTGGCCGCAATGAGGCCAGGACCTGAACAGGTAGCTCGTCACTGCAGGAGAGCCGAGTGATTTCAGCGAGTCCGATAGAATGGTGTTCACCACGATACTGCAGATTGAGAGATACTCCCTAACTGACATGAATACGTGTTAAACTAGAAAGGTCGGAGTACGTTAAAAAATATGAGAGCTTAAGAATTTGATCGCATCAATAGGGGACTTAGTCAACGTACATCTCTCCCAAAGCATGGTTCTGCCAGGCTAGGAGTATGATCGGAAGGACGAGCGAACCTGAGGCTCAGTATATGCTACACGACGGAGAGAGGTCGCACAGACCTGAGTGTCTCCACGGGGTTGAATTTCCTTCGCCCTCTTTCCCCTGCAATAAGGCCTCCGACGATGTGGGGGCAACTGCGGTAGTGCAGACGAGATTGTTGAGGTTCGACGTTGGGATCAAACGTGTGGTATCTGGAAACGACGAATCGAATACATCGATATGAAGACAAGTGTCCACCCTCGCTCGCATCCGATCGCCCTGTATGTGGCACTTAGCGTGGGAGTACGGTAACAGTTCATTGAGAATTAACAACGCTGAATGTGCAATCTCATGGGCCTATCCGTAGCTGCGTCTAAAGTGGTGACACCATATGCTCGGGAGTAGTTGTTTCGAACGAAGAGTATACGTGTGCATATATATCCCCTTGTGGCTCCACCAGGTGACTACTCGTATCTATGGAATACTTGATGAAAAGCATCACTGTGGCCCCACCATCAGAGCTCTCCTTATATAACAACGCAAGTGAACTATATTAGCATCGAAAAAAATCAGTCCGTGTACGGATGCTTTGCTTATAATGAATTCCACGTCTACAACAACCCCTTAGGAGAAGAAGTCATCGACGCTCGGGGCAGGAGGGGCCTGAGGGAAGTCCCAAAGAGCGTGTAATAAATAGTGGCGATCCAAGAATTTCGTGAAGTTGCATAGAAATACGTCCGATGCCAGACAGCGACATAAAACTGAGAGGCGATCTCAAGAGAGGTTGAGTGAATCCCTGTCACCCGTCTTACGTTATTTCCCTGACTTTCGTTGGCCGCCTCGCTCACCGGATTTAGTCGCCAGCCATACAATGCAGGAAGTACCTACAGCGGTGTATGCCTAGTCCAGCGAGTAGTTGGAGGACGTACGGATTCGATCAGCACTTGCATGGCCTTCAGCTCCCCAGGAGTAGCGTCGATTTCAATTCTTTGAGCCGCTTTCTGAGGATATTGAGAAGCTAATAGCGGGCTCAGCGACACGTGCAAGTATGCAACTATTGAACCACTCCAGGGCCACTGCAGCATGCTCGAAATATGTAATAATTAAACTATGTTTATGCCCTGCACAATTATTATCGAAAATGTGCAGAATGCCACAGGGCAAGGCAAGAGTCACGGAGCGAGCACTGGAGAACGAGAAACGAGCATGTACAAATTCCGGAGGTGACTTAGTCGAACACGAAATTATCGTTGCTGTTAACACTAGTATTACGGTGGCCACAATATGAACCGCCTGCTTCGCCTCGGTCTCCCCATCAGCGGGTTTGGTGACCGGTGAGAAGGAGAGAGATTGGGGCCCTCCCTTGGAGAAGGCACTGGGATCTACGAACTCGACGAATTTGAGAAGCGAGTTATAGGGACACCCTTACTTATAGTACCACCAGCAGCTGGTGAGAGTGTCAAGATTTCAGCAGCCTTAGCAGCGTTAAGTGATATGGATAGCAACGACTGCTTATCGTAAGCTGAGAGGACCAGCAATGAAATCGGATCGAACTTCTTCACTCGTTGTTTACTCTTGCCAGTGCTTCCCTCGGCAGACTTGTTCATGAAGAGCCAAGACAGCTTCCCTTCAGTCTTCACCTTAAGTTCGCCATTGATCCTCTGGACGACGGCCTAGGATTTGACGCGATTGGAGCGGCTACACTCACGAGACGAAGATGAATTTCTCATACCATATCGTGAGCAAATGTTCTAATGTTCGTAGAGCCGATTGATGCGATCGGGTCCTGATGCACCGAGCCCGATATAAACGCCTAGTATTTTATACGACTTCTATCACGATGGATATGCAATTCACTGAGTTGCGTAACTTACCGGTGTCGGTTTGATCATGACCATAGCCTTATCAGTGAAGATGGAGAAGGGTGCAGGCTGTACTGCGCTGAATGAGGAAATCTCGCTCAGATGCTGGAGGCAACCGCGCAACATTTTACAAACTTCAATCTTTGAGTCTCTGGGAATTGCCAAGGTAACAGAGAGAGAGGAAAATCCTGGGCGCGCGAGAAACGAAATGCTCGTTTTCCTCTTGTTCATTTTATATTTTCTGGATGTCAGAACTGGTCCTAGCATCGTATTATACGTGTAAGAAGCGATTCAGACTCTCGAAATCGGTGTATTGAACGACCCCTTCGGTTGGGTAATTTAAGTTCGGGTAGAGGTTTAAATCCGCACCTCATTGACGCAGTACATTTCCATGCACTTTGTGAGTCTATACCTCCATAACTAGCATGGACGCGTAACGATCTCATGCCGTTGCTCAGAGCTCAGCGTGAAACCCACCGAATTTCAGGGTAAAACCCTTGAAAAATAAAAAAAAACCGGAAAACCCTCGAACGGGCAATCACGGAGCGTACTAAACCGTATGTACCTCTAGCCGGTATGGTCTTCAGCTTTGTTCGTGACGGAGCCTTGTTGTCGCTTGGTTCTATATGACCGCTCCCCTAGCTCACACGGAGTCGAGCTCAGAGGAACTCGTGGGTAGGTGCCAGTAGCTCCTTCGAGTCGTAGAGGCCGTGTGTTTAGACGGCCAAGATATCGCAGTTGTAATTAACGCAGGAAATGAAGCGGAAGAAAACGACCAACCAGGGACGCGCACAGCGGTGCGATACAGCGTAGTTTTTAGCACGCCACAGGACCGCTACTCAGATTGCCACCAAGCCTGTGTCGGGGACAAGGCATCTGCCAGGCTCGACTGAGCGGTCTCGTCACAGAACTGAAATCTCTCGCCGAAATTTACGGATGTCCCTGCTTGAATCTCGCGTCTGGTGGCGGAAATATATGGGCGAACACACTTACGTGGGTAAGCCGCGCGTTCGTGGTCATTGTTGACGTCGTACCCAAGCTTCTTCTCGTCGTGCCTCTGAGTGCTCATTCTCAGGTCTTGTCCTGGTCGGTAGCATAGGCGTTGCATGCCTGGTTTGTCTGATGATATACGCCCTCGATAGATCTGTCAAGTGAGTCGCCATTCATGGACGCGCCTTCACCTCGGTCCACAGCTACGGTGGCTGCTTCATGGGCATCAACCACTGCCCGTTGGACAGCTCTGTGCTGGCGGATCCGAACCCATGGATCGTCTCCGCGATCATGCTAGGTGCCGCCCTTGCTACCGGCACTTTCCTAGGTGTAAGGGTCTTGACTCAACTCCAGTCGTATCATAGCTCGTCTTCAGCTAGCTCCGGCTAGGTTTAGAGATCCAGTTCAAGGTGGCGGTTTGATAAACACGCGCGTGTCCATCACGAACGGTCATGTTATACCTTTCTGCGTCATCCCTCTAAGAATCATTCTCGCAACCATCATTGTGGCTGGAGGTGAGGTGTCTGCACTGCAGACATTCGCGGAAAGATGTCCATCATCAATTGCTCTGTTTATCTTTACTACAGACTCTGGAGTACCTGGACACAGGTAGAGATTCCACCGATGTCCAGTTATTACCGTTACTTTACCGTAGCGTTCCTGTTGCAAAGCTAGCTCCCTCGAATGAACAATCTCATTTGTCTCTTGCAGGCTTTCCTATGGGGCTAGAGGGCCCAGCTGTGCATATCGCCGCGGCTACGGCATCAGTTGCGCTGATCATGTGGTAGGCTCCGCTTTGCGAAAAAATCCTGGGCCAACGTTCCTGGAGTTTTAATAGTAAATTGAAATCCGCGATTGTGAAGAATCGCCGGGCGACATTTAACTATTAATGGGATGCCATACTCGTGTAGTAGCGAACAAGGTTCCTCTAGTACCCCACATCCCATATAGTTTGCATTGAATTAGGAAGGAGCTGAGCTCATCGGAGTTCTCAGTATCATTGCGTAGGGACGCCTGTAGTCGAGGACATACTTCATCTTTCTGGATAACGTCTCGACCGATTTGTGCGGATTCCTATCAGCCCTTTTCTGAAGACGGAAATTGCACGGAACAGAGACCTCCAGTCAGCGGTGCAAGTCGTAGCTGCCGCAACGGGGATTGCGGCAGCGTTCGATACTCCAATAGCGGGTAAAACTCGATCGTTGCCCCCAACGTTTTCTGAGTATGTCTTTTCGAGGTGTAACCTTTGCTCTGGAGGAGATACTGCAGCTTACTAGTAGAAGAGTTATGACTCAAATCTGTCTGGCTAGTGTTGTCAGTAACAGCGTTTCCTACTGTGTTTCCATCGATTAAAAAGCCGATTTTATTTCATGGTTGTTGTTATGTAAGGTACGCTGTTAGCACGAACACTAATGCATCGTTTCGAGCCTTTCCGAATCGACAATATACTCGACCTTGACATCCACGGCCAGAAGGAAGAACTTTATTTCGTCATCTATGCCGCAATTGTTGGAATTTTCACTTTCATTGGAGGGTTGCTGTACACTGTTGCGACTCTGGGGATGTAAGCTTGAATGCATCTGAGACGTGTCCCTGTTTGATGTCCGTGAATATCGTCAACCATCGATAGGAACAAGATCTTTTTCAAGTTGGATGAGCACCTGCGAGCTATCTTGGCCCTGAGGCCGCGGAGAAATAGAAAGGCTGTGTCGTGGGCGGGAGTGGAATCGTCCAACAACTCCGTGAGTGATCGATTTGATCGTCACCGATCTCGGGTTTTCAGATCGGCGCTGACGACCACTCCGTTTACCTCCTCATTGTGCCTTACGCGATCTACGGAGTCGTCGGAGCCTTGTTATCCTGTGTAAGGTTGTCGCTCATGCTGACTCGGAGGAGATCGGCAGTTAACTTATAATCTCACCAACTACCATGGTGAAGTCTATGGCCTGGGCACGCATGGTCTGGAGGAGCAACTCAAGGATCCAGTAGACTCTCATGGGTTTGGAAAACCTGTGAGAACTTGCGAAATATCAGGCATGTTCGAGTGCTTCGCTCCGCTCAGCTGATGATGTTCGTTTACCGCTTATTCATGGCGAGCATGGCAACATCTATAGGAGTCCCAGCTGGTCTGCTCACACCCTCGTTGGTTACTGGAGGGTACCTCGGCTCGGCAATTGGGTCGGCCGCGAAGTCCATCGGCGAGGCTACTGACATGTACCCTTATATCGTACCTTGTCGTTCCTCCTCTCCTTGGTTTTTTTATCGTTATAGGTCCCCCTCCTTCGTTCGATACCTTCACCAAACAGGAGTTCTATTCGGCATGACGGGAATGTTTTCTTCGTGGTTTCGGACCCCTATCACGGCGGTTGTCATAGCCTACGAGCTCACCGGAGTCTATTCCCTCGTTCTCCCAATTATGTTGTGTAACTATCTCTCGAGTGCGTTGATCAGTCTAGTCTACGAGAAGGACGTCACCGAGCACATGATGGAGAGAGCGGGTGTCTCTGCTGAGGGGGCCCACTTCGAGCTCACCGACGTGAGGCACTTGTTCAAGTCGCGCTTAGCGGCTATGGAATACGACTATCGCGCTGAACATCCGAGCATACGCACGACCGACCGTGACACAAGGAGGCGTTTCGAGGGACCCTCGAGGACGCTCGACAGGCCATCACGGAGGCTAAGCCTGTCGAACACTATGATGAGGATTATCACTCCTAATGTCGATGTATGTATCGCAGTCGTGTGCATGCGTGCAAGTCATCTCGCAACGAATGCTTGTGAATCTCGCGCGCCATCAGAAATCCGAAACGCCTCTCGTACTTCACGAACTCGTAGGTGTCTGAGCTATGTGATGAAGGTTCACATTCAGGCTCTCCTCAGCATTATTCTAATGAACATGTGACTTTCCTCGAACTCGATAATTCGCTCGCCACGATCTTTTTTTAGGTATCTCGTATAAGTGGTCGGAGCGTTCATTGGGGAGCTTCAGCGGTAATTGGTGAGTCCAACTCGTCTTCTTGTTCATGGCTGTGCATCTCTTGGGTAGGTGGGAGTACCCATGCGGTGAATAACCCTCAGTAGGAGCTATCCAGCCCTCATTTCACGCGCTCTATTCTCTCAGGCAATCGTCGCGTCCTATGAGCACTGATGTGGACAGTGGTGTGCTCGCTTCCACCGTCATCATAAGAGACACGAGCCCGAGGAACTCTGAACGTTCTGCCCATTGAACCCGGCCTGATGCGATTTACTCATTGCAGCGATCCGACTGGGTGATGATGAGCATGTTCAACTGTACCGTGACCGGAATTGTCTCCACTGCTGCCCAACGGTTGTCTTCATCGTTCGCCTTTGTATAGTAACCGGTCAGAGTTTTCTGTCTCCCACCCGGCATGGCTTCTGCAGTGACCAACAAGGAGGATTACAAGGCTCGTATTGAGGAGAATTTGGACAACACGTTGGCTGAGTGCTTCATTCCTGAGCTTGGTATGCCGATGAAGGGAAAGGTCCGTGAGATTTATTTTACCGATGCCAACGTGGTTATGGTTACTAACGACAGGTGAGATACATCCATTATGAGTCTCCAGTTGATTCGGTCGTCTCGGATCTCTCAGGGTTTCTGCATTCGACTACGTGCTGCCGAATCTTATTCCCTTCAAGGGTCAGGTGTTGAACACTATCTCGCAGTGGGCTATGAACTCGACGAAGGATATTGTGAGCGTCACCCGTTCTTCTTGTGAATGGGTCCGATCCTGTTAGGTACCCAATGCTATGGTTGGCGATGACTTGGTGGACCCCGCTGTCGTTGTGCAGAAGAAAATGAAGAATGTCGGAGTCGAGTGCATCATCAGAGGCTATCTCTGGGGTGAGTTCTGGGACTTTGTAGCTGACTGAATGTTGTTCGTTCTTCTTGGTGTCAGGAAGCATGGCTGCCGCGTACGAGAAAGGAGATCGTACTTTTTGTGGCCTCAAGCTGGAGGAAGGCCTTATCAGGTTGGTTCACACGAAATGGAGTGAGTCGTGATGTACGCGCTGCACAGGTTTCAGAAGCTCCCCACACCGATTTTCACTCCTACCACCAAAGCGGAAGTTGGCCACGACGAGAATATGACTATGGAGGAGGTATGAGAGTAACTATTTGCATATTCGGGAAAGTTCTTCAGGTGGCATCGTATTGCGGCGCCGATGTGGCCCGGCAGATGAAGGAACTGTCTTTCAAGTGAGCTCAATTGCTTCGGGGTGAATCCTACTCGAAATCGCTCAGATTGTATGAGAGAGGAGCTCAGTTGATGCGAGACAGGGGATTGATTCTTCTTGACACCAAGTATGAGTTTGGCGTCGATGAAAACGGTGTTTTGCATGTCATTGACGAGGTGAGAGCTACAGCTGTTGTATCACATGTTTGTTGGTCAAGGTCAACACTCCCGATTCCTCTCGCATGTGTGATGTGAAGGAGTGGGAGAGTAAATTCCCACAGATTGAAAAGCTCATGAACGACGGAAAGTAAGTTTGGGAAAGCGCGAGTTCACCTTCCCAATCCATCGAGTAGGCTTGACTCGGCTAGGAGTGCTCAAAGCGATGCTTCATGGGCTAGATGGTACGTCTTCCTTCTAATGGTCGCCCTGCCTTTTTTATCGCCCCTGGCTAGGAATTGATGTCAATACATCACGAAAAGACAGTCGACCTATTTTGTCTTTCACAGTTACCGCAATGTTTCGGATTTGCTGAAGGATCATCCCCATCTGAAACCGGCTGAGTTTTCGAAGCAGTATGTTAGAGATGCTCTCCTCGATATGGGTTTCAAACCGGATCGCGATAAGGCTGTGCCCAAGCTCTCCAACGAGCATGTTGTCGAATGCGCCTACCGGTAAGTTGCCCGGCCTGGTACCGTATTATGGATCGCGTTATCCCATGTCTGTTCAGGTACATTGCTGTGTGCGAACGGGTGACTGGACAACCGTTCGAATGGCCGTCGAAAGCAGTTAAGATGACTCCTGAAGAGCGGGTCTGCAGTAACTTGAGGCACCATGGATTCGTATGCCTTCAATCCCGAATTCGCTTACAGCCACGCTCGGTTCTCTTGCAGATTAAAGGTTGCTGTGTCGCGGTTTTTGCTGGAAGTGACTCTGATAAACCTCACATCGATAAATGCCAAGCTGAACTTGCCAAGTAGAGTCTTTTAGTGTTTTTTTGATGTGATTTCCATAATAGGTACGGTATCCCATCGCATTACAGGATCTGTTCAGCCCATAAGCAGCCGACAAGATTGGAGTTTGCTTTGCAAATGTACGACGTGACACTTGTAGATGTTGTTAGCTGCGACTCAGGTATAACAAATCTATCGAGCCAATGGCTATCATTGCCTCTGCGGGTGGCACGGATGCGCTGAGCGGCACTGCCTCTTTCCTATCGGTCTGGCCTGTGGTATCATGCCCTCCTGACCCTCACAACCCATCCTGTATTGGAAACCCTCCGCTTTCTAGCAACGTGTAGGTGGATTATGATTGCCAGTTTTTGTACCCGATCGCTGTTGAACATGTAGCGGCGAAGGAATTTTCTTCTTTCGAGTAAGTGGGTTTGCATATTTGTTGCCTCGATCAGATATGTTCAACGTCCTGGAAATGCGGCGCGTTTCATCGCGCAAATGTTCGGCTCGTGCTGCAACGTCAAATCCATTCGTGGTGCTTTAGTAGACGAGGCGCATGGTAAAGTGAAGAAGCTGATCGATGCTGATAAGTGGAGTGCATGATTGAGCTCGACGAGATTTTTAATTTTTCCTTTCTATTCCAGAGGCTCCATGAGATGATATGAATATGAAATTTTTCTGTTTCAAACGCCATGGAAATCTTTGGTTAGCTGATTTTCCATGAAGAGGAGGGTATGAAGAATCTTTCACCTCGACAACAACCTTCGGAGGACAAGAGGAATAATCTATCTCTGCCACACGATGGGAATGAGAATAGCAAGATCATTTTCTATACGTTTCAAACTGTATAAAAACGACGTTGAAAGTATGTGGTATTAACCTAGTACGATGATATTTGTGCACGCCTGAAAAAAACATGGATTTGCCCCATTATACCCACGATCGATCTCATACAGTTGCGGGGAGCCACCAAGGATCACCCTTACCTCGAGGTAGACATATTATGTCCATCGAAACTGACAACAACTTATGTATGTACGTGTTCACCTTCATCCATCACGTGAATGACTAATGACAATTTCGTGCAGCAAAATGATAGCAAACTTTGTGTCGCGTGAGTGAAACCTGATCGGACTGAGAGAGTGCCCCCTAGCACGCCATTATGAAGCGTCCGTCTCCGCTCGCAGACGATAGAGACTCATACCCGTAAGATACGTGCGCCTGCGTGCAGAGCAAGTTGATATGATCAACCACTCTCCTTCATGATGAGTGTCGCTGTGGCGTAGCAATATGCTGCGGCGTACACTGTTACAGTACAGTGATGAAACCCTCTGGTTCTTCTCACCCAACCCTCCCGACCCGGAAGATGTGTGAAGGTCAGCCTCACACATCAATCACGTCGCGGTGGCGCAGCGCCAATAATGCGGGCCTGTCTGGCTTAGTCGCGTAATCTTATGCTCTTGAGTCAACCGATCAACGTCGTTCGACTTTGAGTGTATCTATTTCGATAACAACATGAATGGCAGAGTACTCAGTACACTACACAACGGAAAGCATGAAACAATCATTGTAGATCTATAACATTGCACTGTCTAATAAAACTGAATCCCTCGTTATCTTTAGCAACCCGATAATAGTAATCGCACGGATGAGTCGGACCGGTCACGAGCTTCCTCACGAATTCTTCATCGTGCGTGATGAGAAGCAGTTGAAAGTTGGAGCTGTTTCGCCTGGTCTCAATCAAATCAGCAAGTGCATCGGCCTGACATACACGGAACACCTTCACGATAGTGCACTCAGTCTGCCGCCTACCAGCCCTTCGATGTTGGTGGAATCCAAATTCGTCGTCGGTTCATCCAGTGCTAGAATACCACAGTTACAGCAGAAACTCTCGGCCAGCGCTAGACGAATTATCAAAGACGCAAGAACTCGTTGTCCAGCTGAGCATCTCCCTCTCATGTCAACTTCGACTCCTTGGCACGTCATGACCTGAACAGTGGATGATTGGTTACATAATCCCCTACGCAGATTTAGCAGCTTACAACCCTGTAATTGTAGCTTCGCAGCCTAGTGGCACTGGTGACATTTGCGGCACCATCTTCAGTGTCGGAACGAATCGCTATATAGTCAATGTCTCGGCCTCGATAGACCTCGAGAAGCATATGTCACGCTCACCAGAAGTTCCTCATATGCTGAACAATCACCTGCTGCCACAGCTCTCTGATAACTCGGTTTATCTCCATCATCTTGGAGACGTGGTATCTGACGGGAAAGAGGATATCCAACGAGGAAACGGCGATGTAAAGAAGAAGTCAATGAAGGTCGAACGATAACACCAATGCAGCACAATAACGGCAGTACTGCTCTATTGCGTATACCACCATCAAGTGGGAATGGGTTCAACAGTAATAGCCGAGGAAGCGACTGCACTAGTGGGCTTACCTCATGAGCGCCTTGTCCAACGCAGAATGATAGCGAGAGAGATCCTGGGTCGCCATAGCAGACACTTCATGCTGGATCAGAGCGGAGCGATGCCGGTCGTCGATGTTTTTGTAAAGGGAACCTAGTCACAACTACTACAATTGTTACGGTGTGGATCAGTCGTACTATCGAGCTGATGAGAAACTGCTCTTTGCTGGTCTACTAGCTGAGAAACCTTCCCCTCAATCCTGGACTTATGCTCCCGCAGACTCTGGAACCGAGGAATCAGCTCATCCGTGATAGTGGATAGACCCACCAGAACTGCAGATCGCAAATCCTCAACTTGCTTCGCTTTTCCCGCGAAGTCAACGACACCGTATTCCTGCTGCAGCGTCTCTACCTCCTGCTCAAATTCCGACAGCTCTCGCTGCAGAGACTTCAGCTGAATAGGACCCCGGCATACCCGACTAGCGTAGCGATGGGAAATGAAAAACCAACCCTGATATTCTGCACGACTTCTTCTCGACATCTCTCTTTCTCCCGGAGTTCCCCTTCGCATTGGCCTCGCTTGGTACGAAGTTCTTCCACAGTGTCCGTGGCGCTTCGCTCCGCCGCCTCTGCCTCCGCGAACTTACGCTGAATCTCCGACGACTTCTGAGATCAGTGACAATCACTCTTCCGAAACCG